CTTTATTATGTTTAATGCTAGCTAGAACTAAAGCAGTAACACTGGAGGTGGTAGGTAGTGGCTTATGGATTTCCAGTAAGAATTTAAGATAGAATCTGCAGGACTCAGCAAAGACTTTAATGGGAGGGTATGATGAGGAAAAGTGAAAATTCAAGAAAGCATCTTAGTTTCCTGATACATACACCTGAGTTTGCAGGAGTCTTTTACAAAAGGAAGGCTGGAGGAGGGACAAGTTTGTGGAATGGGAAGTAGAGAGACCCATAATACAATTTGGCCTTGGGAAACTTCATGTCATCCCTCAGTGTGAGATATGTTGAAAATATTGCATAAGAGATGTGAAGTAGGCAGTTGGATGCCTGGTATGCTCTTTTAGATGGGCCAAAAAAAAGGGGTGCTAATCATGGAAAATGACTTTGAATATTGTGGTTTTCACATAAAAGTCCCAAGAAATTGTGCAGATAAAGGAAAATACATTCTTTCAGGAGAAGTCTAATTCTTCTCAAACAGTTTCAAATTTCCCCCTGAACTCTATGTTACTTTTGTGCAAACCAAAAATGGGCATATGCAAAACAGCCTTGCCTGCTCATGTAGAATTGCCATTTAGGAAAAGTGTGGAACATACTTGAAAGTTTAGAAAAATCTGTTTTCAATTCATTAATTCTGACTTTTTTTTTTAGCAAGAAGCTTTGCCTTTTATAACCAAATGAAAAGGATGGACTAAGAAACAGAAAAAAATAAATAACCTCTATTCTCAAGTGTAAAATAGAGAGGTAGAAGGAAACAAATGCCAACTTGGCCAAAAGATTAGGCCAAAACATTTTTTTTTTAAATAAAATCTATAGTATGCATCAGAAGCTGAGACCTTCAGAGTCTGCCAACTGGTGGAGATGTTGGCAAGAGAAATTTAACCAAAAGGTTTTATGCCCTCAGGACAATTAAGACTACTTTATAAATAGGTTAACAGGCTATTCATACTCTGAAAGAAATACTAGTTCCGAAGCTCACAAGTCACTCTACACCCAACCTATCTGCAAACTGAACTTTCAACCTTGTTCCTTCAAAGGACAGTATCTTTTGTTAATGTTTATACCCTGGGTAAGTATCTTGAGCCTCTAGCCGGGGTTTCCTGGACCATAAGCTTGGAATATTTTCCACTGAGAGCTTCTTTGCCAGGGGCAGATAGAGTAGCATGTTGGCTCTGGTAAAGCTTGATGAGGTTTTATGTCCCAGTCTTTGATCCCCAAGTGCCCCCAAAGCTTACACAAAATAGAGTGTATGTGCTACACTAACTTATTCCTGAATTTCTGTGGTTGGCTTATGGCAACTGCTGATATAGGATGAGTTGGCAATGTGCTAAAAACTGGCTCTAAGTGAAAAAATATACAGCCTGTCTGGCAAAGAAGTGAGTAGGTACATCATAGAGGGGTCCTGGAATATGTTGCCTACGCTATAAATATTGAGCAGTGGCCAGAGCACCTGCACAATATGTGGTGATTAAAATAGTCACAAAGGCCAGGGTGTGTTTCTCCACCAGTGTCTTGTTTAGCAGAGAAGAAAAAAGGGTAAGGGGCAGGATGGAGGGGAGGAGGGACAGAAAGGAAGGTTTCTTTGACCTATGTTTAGGTCTCACTTTAAATGCTTACATAGCGTGTTGTTGGCATCCTGCGACCCAGATCCAACAGGGTGTGTGTGTGTGTGTGTGTGTGTGTGTGTGTGTTTGTGTGTGTTTGTGCATGAACTCCTCATAACAAGCAATTCTGGGGCACTAGCATGCAATTCTGTTTGGACACTATCTACCCAGAAATAGCAGCAAAATCTGTTACAGGGCAGGTGACAGCTACCCCAAACCCCCAAATCTGCCTGCTCTAGACAAGTTCTACCACCCCCTACATCAAGACAAAACATACTTTAGTGCTTAAGACCTTTCATGGAAAGGAACTTTAATATAATTAGTGTGCAAGTCAGAAAAGGAAAGAAAATGGTTTATAAATCAAGCACCTAAAGTTACCCATCCCCTCATGGGTAAATGCCCAGCCAAACAAGGTTGGCCCAAAGCAGGGTCAATGAGACCCAAAAGTCTACCAAGAGCCTAAGGCACCTTGTGGTGGGGACCCATAGGAAAGGGGCAGAAATGACCAGACAAGTCTGAAAGGAAAAGTGCAAAATCAAGATAAATGTTGTCACTGTTAACCTCTCCACGGGTCGCTCACCCACATCTGTTTCAACCAGTCTAAGACCAAGAAGCAAGTGCATCTCTCTGCTCCCTGTGCTTCCTCCAGGTCTCCTTCTAGTTCTCTATCCTTCTTCCTCCCTTCCCTGTGTCCCTTCCAGGTTCTGCTCCTCCATGCTCAGCTCACCCTTCCTTGGCTGAGTCAGAGAAGCTGCAACCTCCCCTTTTTCTGGGGGCCACCCTGTTACAATTCCACAAGTTAAAGGTGCAATCTTCCAAGACTGAACTTCCTACTTCACATGTTGGTCAGAAGCCCCAGGCAAGACCCACAGGATTGCCTGGGCTTTTGACCAATCAGCTGTAGACAGGAGGTTCCCACAACCCTCTCCTCAGTCATCAGGTGCCCTTCTCAATTCCAGATCATCTGTGCTTCTGCCCCACAGGTTGTAAATCAGAGGTTCCCAGGACACCCACCACACAGAACTCAGGAAACCCATATATGCACTAGATCAAGGATTTGTTACCAAGGATACCAAACAATACAAATGAACAGCTGAATGGAAGGGATCCATCTGGTGAGCGTGGGGAAAGGCATGGAGCTTCAAGCATGCCATGCTCCCCACTCTTCACTACTCTGGAAACTCTCCGAAGCGCCGTCCTCTTGGCCTTCTATGGAGGTTTCATTACACAGACCTGATGGATTAAATCATTGGCTTTGGCAATCAAACTCAACCACCGGCCCCCCTCTTCCCCTCCCTGGGGGATAGAGGGTGGGGGTGGGACTAGATGTTCCACCCTCCATTCAGTTGGTTTCCCTGGTAACCAACCCCCAGCCTCAGGTGTTTTCCAAAAACTGCCTTCATTAACATCACAAGACACTTTTAATGCTCTCAACACTTAGGAAACTGTGAGACTCTGTAATAGCTATGAGACTGGAACTATGGATGAAGACCAAATATGTTTGAGAAATAATCTGTGCTCTTGTGAATGACCAAACAATATTTCTTATAAATCACAACATTGCATATTATGAAGATTGCATATAATAAAACCATATTAAAATGGCTTTTTTTTTAATATTTGCTTCTTTTAGAGTGAGTTTCTATGCTCTCTTTTCTCTTAAAGATTAACAAGTATATGAACAATAAAGGGAAAATATTATTCTGGAAACCATTGTTAGAAATAAATAAATGGGGTTCTAAGAACACTTAAACCCTAGCAGATAACTCAGAGTAAAATCTCTCCTGTAGGATTGTACAGTCTCCATCAACTGGAGTTCAAAAGCCAAAAGTTATTATCTTTCTTGTTGGGGAAAAAATAAGCCATTAAAAAGTTTAATTTTAATCGACCGATAAGCCATTCAATAGTAGGAAATTTTTCTTCAATTCATGGTAGAATGTGACTCACAACCATCAACAACCATCTTCAGGATACTGATTTTAATTAGTTAAATAATGTATTAAATGAATATTTACCTACGCTTTTCCAAATCCCTCCCATGTTTTTGAAACTTTAAGTGAAAAAAAGGGAAGTTACAATTTTTAATGAGAGAACTGCTACATCTTCTAACTAGTTCCCTTTATGGAAACAAAAAAGTATAATAATCTATAGCCCCTCACAGCTGTTTGGTTAGAATTACCAATTACTTTCAATGCCTTAGAGATACTTTTCAGATTTTTACAAGTCTGCACAGTAAAATTTCAAACAATTTTCTTAAAAAGGATTGATAAGATTTATATCCTTTTAAGCATATGATGACATATTTCATTTAATTTGAATATAAAACCAAAGCTTAAAAAATAAAATAAAGGCTTAATATAACTGGAAGAAAAAAGGAGACAGGGATTAAAAATAAAATACAACAAAAAAGGTATAATTATTTTAAAATAATTTCTTTTATGCTTTGAAATGTGTTTTAGCTTGCATTTGAGTATGGGTGTGGCAGATTTGTGGGAATTCACATCAAACAAATACCAAGTCTTGTGACAAGAAGCCAGAAATTTGTATAGCCTGCTTGTCCCCTACTCTAATCATACCTGGAAACTGCCTGCAATTGGGGAGAACATGCTATTTCTCAGACAGCTGCAAGGCTTCCAGATAGGTAGCTGATTGTGTGACTTCCCAGCACCTCTGCTGGCAAAGTAAATAAAGGAGCGTAGAGAAGTGACAGCACTTTAAGTAACCAGAATAAGAGGAGTCAATAGGAAATGCTCAGAAAGTTAATAAAGCAATTACTTAAGTAGCATGGGGACTAGCATGAGGAGGCGAGCTTGAAAGAAAAACAGTGCACATTACCCTCAGTATGGATAACTAATTAAGAGTTGACTGTAAAGACTGGATCAAGAAGATGTGGTATATATACACAATGGAATATTATTCAGCAATCAAAAAAGATAAGCTTATGCCATTCGCAGTCAGGTGGATGGAGCTAGAAGGCATTATGTTCAGTGAAATTAGCCAGAAGGAAAAAGAAAAATATCGGATGGTTTCACTTATAACGGGAATATAGGGGAACCAAATAAGACATCAGTGTAAAAAAAATAACAGTACAAAACACAACAAAGCAAAAACAGACAATTTTAAATCAGCGACATACTGCAGGGGAGGAGGAGGGAGAGGGATCAGATGGAGGAGGGGAGGAGCACAGGGGACTGTGGTGATGGTGCACGGGTGCCTTGGGGAAGGAAATTCTATGGGGACTCAATCTGAGGGGGTGGGGGGAAGCAAATATTGTTTAAAAAATTTTTAAAAAAAGTTGACTGTAAATGCTTACCCTTGCTAAAGCCCCCACATGTGTCACTGTTTATTCTCTTTCTTCTTCTTTAAACAGATGAATGTGCCTCCCTTATCCTCACCTGTCTGTTTTGCCAGTTTTGGGACTGTCTCCTGATGCTTCCCGACATATGTGAAACGGTATGCACCAACGTGTGCTGCCCTTCCTACAGATACCACCACACCGCAGATGAAGGCCACTCCCGCAATGAATGTAATTGCAACTGTGACATGGACTGCAGCCTTTTTGAATCTTGCCACGAAACCAGCGAGTGTCTGGAGCTGGCCATGGAGATTTCAGAAATCTGTTACCGCTAGCTTAAGGAAACCGCCACTTTCCTGGAGAAACTTCGGTACCACAGGAACATCCCATTACAATAAGAGTGTGATTTCGGTGTGCTGAAATGTAAGGACTGCACATTTCTTGGATGCCATAGATCATTTTATTCTGCACCTGTTTGGGAAAGCTAAGTATTGTCAACTCAATGGTCTTATTCCAAATTTCACCACCGCATGGCTCGCTGCAAAACACGATCTTGATCGCATACCTAAATGCTCTAGGTACAGGATGTTTCTTGACTATAAAATAGCATGTGAAACCACTCTGTATTATTGCACTCATGGTTTGCATCATGGATTCAACTTCATTCACAAATTCAGGACAAATTAGTGCATTCTTTTAGAAATGACATATATTAGCTCGTCTTTCCAATGGACTCATGCATAAACATTATGCATTGTTGGTTATTATTAATAATGTATTGTATAACATCACTTTGTAATTAAAAATTTATTTATACAGTCTCTTAAAATTCACTTATATGTACAGTTTAGGTAGGAAAGGGAATTAAATGAATTAGAAACCATGTTCCTGTAATTACAACAGATGTCTCTAAGACATCTCCAGTGAATTTTGAATATGATGTACTTCGAGAGAGTACTGTAATTCTAGGCCATATTATTATATGTCTATGACTATGTCATAACAGGTTATGCATATTCTTAATTTGTTACAGTAAGGCCTTTCTTTATTCTAATAAGCACAAATGGGAATTATGTGCAAATTTCAAGAAAATGAGCCCAGATAATCAATTCTTCATTTTCTTCATTTCTGTTTTTCAAGTAGAATAAGCAACAGGATAACAGACTCTGTTCATGTTACTAAACCATTATTTGCAAAAAAAATGCATATGCAGGTACTTATTTGGCATCGTTTCCTTATACAGCATGTGTATTAGAAACCATTTTAAAATTTTTTTCTGATTATTAATCAGTAACTATGTTGATGACTTCCTTACACAAAAAAATGAAGGTGTATTATAAAATGGAAAGTGATTTTCAACTCAAAATTAAACAATTTTAAGAAAAAAAATTCTACAATATTCAATAGGTTAAACTTTTGGAATCTACTTTCTATTGGCACAGCATTGCTTGCTAATGTATGATTATTTATTCCCAAGGAGACAGCTCAATATATTAATTGACTGTAAAGAAGCAGAACATATCAATAACCAAACAAAAAACACAAAAGTGAAACAGGGAGTTGAAGGAAATGTTTTATAATTTGAGCCAAGAACAACAAATTCCAGAATACCTGCTCTTGTTAATTTGAGTTAATTTCAGGCAAAAGCAACATTTGTTTTTGTAGTATACTAGCACATATTCTACTCTGCAATAAATTCCTCCCAACACTGAAAACTATTCATCTTTAAAAAATACTTTTAAGCTTCCTCTAAATAGGTATTTAACTGCTCTTGTTCTGCTCCTGCCTAACAAACTGCAGTGCGGTCACGTGAATCGGTTTCATTGCTGTTTGACTGTCACACAATTCACAAACCATAGAGCATGCCCCTCGCTCCTCATCAAACACTTCAGACTCTTTGCTGTTCAGAAACTCAGAGTCAACTCTATCCTCTGTGAATAGAACTTGCAGATCATTAGGAAGGGAAGAAAAGTAGATTCTTAGAACAAGAAGGGCCACTTGGGCTGTTTTTATCCAATATTCTCATTAGAAGATGGAGGCTACAAGACCTGTCTTATCCAAACCATGCAGTGAGTTAATGGTAGATTCAGGAACTCTAAATGGTGGTCTGATTGTCTAATTACACCACACCTAATCCAACTGGTATATAATGATAAAGCTGTTCCAAACATTTACATATTGAAATGCCACCAGACTGGCTCATTAATAGTAGTTATCTCGAACTTCTTTAGTGCTTCCCCCATTTCTCACAGACACCCTAGGCCTTCAACAGGCACCCACACACCTGATAGTCCAGTCACTAAATACCTGGGCATGCAGGGGGTCTCTGGGTCATGTCCAGGTAACATGGTACATGGTATCACTGATGATGTCATATAGGTGTAAAATATTTTTACCAGTATCTTTCTAGTCTACATATCATCAAATGTTGCAAGGAATGTGTATTTTCAAATGTGAGTTGAATGTTTGTCAACTAGAGACATAAAAATTACCAGGTCTTATTTCATAAGGTGGTAAGAACGCTGCAAGATCTCTCTGTGGCCTCACCTTCCACGGTTTGTTATCTTGTTCCTCAATTTCAGAATTCACCATGCTATAACAGAGGAGTTGGTTTTACAAAGTGTGAAATTTCTTTTCTTTATAACCAATAATAAAATATCATCCTTTTTGCAAACATGAATGGCTCTTTCAATTGAATTCTCACACAATAAAACATATGCAACTTGGAAAATACAATTGCAGCGGTAAGACAGATGAAAAAGAAATGTGGTTATTGATTAAATACAAATATCAGAAACTGAAAAGTCTCAAGATTTTTCTGCAATCGTGAAGGCCTATGATTATAAATAATGATAATGTTATTCTTTAAGGTGGGTCTCTTAGGAAACAGAGTATTGTGATTTAAGGAAGCACACCACATAAAAGAGATTTGAGAATATACAACATTTATAGAGAATAAGAACAGAGATTTCTCCCATAGTAATATAACCAGATAGTTACACTGTCTTGCTTTGCTCAATGGATTTTTATAAAACCATTGCTTCTCTAAAAGCCTACAAAATATGGAAAGCAATGAACAAATGAAGTTACATTTAACTTGATAATGAAATTTTCCCACTACATAAGCCGATAAGCCTACAAAATTAATTATCAATGGTGAACAATCAAAGTTAATAAAGCAAAAGTCACTTCAGTTTTTTTCTCCAATGGAGTAAGCAAACATTCAGGCAGGAAAACTTTACAAATGGAAACATCACATGAATGCATAGCAGCATTTTTTTTCAAATGTTTGATGGACAGAATTCATTCTGAGGGCCTCCCCTGGTGGCGCAGCGGTTGAGCGCTAGGCTGCGAAGCTGCCTGCAGCCTCGGCAGCACCGGTTCGATCCCCGGCCACTGGCGAGGGTCCCACATGGCGTGACAGACCTCTCCTGCTGTGCCCGCTGCTCCCCTCAGCAGTGTATTTAGTCAGTCTGCCTGTTCTGTTTCCCACTCTGGCTCTAGTGAATTCTCTCACCCTCCCGCACTTCTGACTGTACCCAGTGCTTGTATAAATAAATAAATAAATCTTTAAAAAAAAAAAAAAGAATTCATTCTTAGTGACTTCATATTTCTCCCTCCACAAAATGGAGCAAAAGAATAATATGCAGATATAAGTGAGGTAGTTTGACTGTAAGAGATTTGTTATCAATTGCTAAGTTCACTCAAGTTACACAAACTAATGATCTTTGATAAAATATAAGTAGTAGGTATTTTTTACTTTTGTTTTTGCTTTTATTCTTCATCAAAGACTTATTTTATTTTCATTATTTTTGTAATGAAGTACCATTGTTTCACAACCTTGTTAATATTTAACAGTACAAAATTTCTTTCCTCAGCTGTGATCACTACAGCTCTTCTACCACCAAAGAACCCGTTGTCCTCTATCATAGTCCCTTTGCTTTCACAGCACCCCTTCTGACCCCCTAACCCATCCTTATTTCTCCCCCTTCACTCCCTCTCCTTTTTTGGATGCCTCAGAACTATGCTCAGCTTTCAAGGGTTGGTTTTAATGTTTGTCTGACCCTTTGTTTGGCTTCTCTGTATTTCACATATAAGTGACACATCCAATTAGTGTTTTTTGAAGATTTCTGAGTTAAAACCTAAACACCCGCCACATATAGCCTTAAGTAAGTTATACAGAAAAGACAAAATAAACAAAGAATGATTTTTTGGTGATTATAATCAACTTGGGACTGAGATTGTATTAGTGGGCTCCTCGAACAGACATCTAGCAACTCCTGACATTACTGAGAAGGAGTTCAAAATGCAGGAAGGTAATGAGAAATGGAAGGAGGGGCAGGACCTGCATCATTATTTGGATAAAAATGCCACCTTCTGGTCTAGCATCTATTTTTACTTTACAATTCTATTTGGCACTATCTCTAAAGCAGTGGTTCTCAATCAGGAGGTGATTCCCCACCTCCAAGGGACATTTGGCGATATCTGGAGACATATTGGGTAGTCACAATGTAGAGGGAATGGTGCTACTACAGCATCTAGTGAATTGAGGCTGGGGTTGCTTCAAGATATCCTACAGCACACAGCACAACCTCCCACAATCAGGGAGCATCCATTCCCAAATGTCAATAGAGTCAAGGCTGCAAAACTGACTCAGAATCTTAATCTCAAAGCACCATCACCGAATCAACCTTAAAAAACTGTTGGAAATAGGGTTGCAGATAAAATACAGGATGCCCAGTTAACTTTGAATTTCAGATAAACAACAAATAACATTTTAGTACAGGCATGTTCCAGATATTGTATGTGACATATTTATACTTCAAAAATGATTCCCTACTTATCTGAAATTCAAATTTAGCTGTGTGTCCTATATTTCTGTTTGCTAAATCTAGCAGCTCTAGTTCAAAAGACTCCATGTTTTGAGACAGGATCTATGGAAGTGATGATTTCTCAGCCCCCTCCCTGCCTTTGAGAGGAAGAACTGTTTATCTCATGGTGAAATGCCAAGACATTCTTTGGGCCACACTGGGGTAAAGGAGAGGCTGCTCTAAAGGTAGACACTGATTTTCCCTTCTGCCCCAGATTTACCCATAGTCCACTGCCTTGGACTAAGCTAAGGCATATCTGTTTTCTCTGCTTCATATCTCAATTGGCAACTAAAGAAGGTACTTCAGCCCAAAAACAATCTTGATTCAATGGGTAGGAAGCAGAAGTCTTTACTGAAGTCTTGACATCTAAACTGCATTTCTTTCTTGGCCAGAAAGACCTGTTTAGAAAGGTACTCACATAGATATATTGATGTATTTCCCCCGACTAGATATTTTTCTTTTCATATAGCTTCATCAAAACTCCATGGACTGAAGAGGTGAGTGGCAGGGTGTTACTGAGGCATTTCTTGGATCTGGATTATGATACTATTTGCTACACCCAGACTTCACCAAACACTCTTAATATGCAGTTAGGAGTAAACCAGAGAGTCTGACATGCCCCCTTTACTATTATTATTCTCATTTATTTTACAGATGAGAAAAATATCAAATATAAAATATACAAATTAGTGCTTTATAAGCATTATCACAATTCACCTAAACAATCCTATGAAATAGGTTCTAGTATTATGTTCATTTTTCTAGGAGCAATAGAGACTTAAAGAAATTAAATAACTTGCCCAAGCTCACACCGCAAATAAGCAGTCCTCACAAGGTTTGAACCCAGGCTTCTACATTCCAAAGCTCATGCTTTTAATTACTAGCCCTAAAAGTTGAAATATGAAAAATG